ATTGCTATATTTGTATCCTCTTTGGATTGTTCCCTGTATCAATATGAGGTAAATTTCTTTGGACCTTGTAATTTTGGCTTGAAGCCTGCCTCATTGGATAAAAATATAGCTGCTCCTGCTTGCTGTTGGGTTCCATTTGCTTGGAATATCTTTTTTTTTTTAATTAATTTTAAATTGTGTTGGGGGAACATTGTGACTTTCCCCAAAATTCATACAATTATCAAAGTTGAATTCACCCCCTCCATCATTCTCCTTTATTTCCCCATTCCTGGAATAGTTTCAAGAGGTCTCATTTTCCCTTTTATATACATGTATACACGGTATTTGCACTTTGTTCACCCTCCTACATCTTTTCCCTAGATCCTCCCCCTTCCCACTGGTACCATCCCCTCAGGCAGGACCTGTTCTCTGTTTTTGTTAAAAAAAGAAAAAAAAAAAAAACAAAAACAAAGAATGACATTTTTAAGATAGCAGTACAGGGATTTTCCTGATGACATTTCCACATATATATGTGTTATAACCTGAATGGATTCATCTCATCTATTTGTCTCCTTTCTACCTTAGTACCCTTCTTATTCTTATATAGGAAGTATATCACCCTTATTCACCTTCTTAACTTCTTTCTTTTGCCATCCCTCTCTTATAGGTGACCTCCCTTTAGCATGACCTGTTTTTCATAATATTGCTGTTATTTGTATTAGGTCTATGTTCCACATATGAGAGAAAACATGTGGCTTTGGCTTTCTGAACCTGGCTAACTTAACTTAAGATGATGTTTTCCAGTTCCATTAATTTACCTGCAAACAACAAAATTTCTTTATGGCTGAAAAAAATTCCGTTGTATATAAATATCACATTTTATTAATTCATTCATCAGTAGTGGGGCATCTTGATTATTTACATAGCTTAGCTATTGTGAATAACAATGCAGTAAACATGAGTGTGAGGTGCTTTTATTATATCCTGACTTACATTCTTTTGGGAATATCCCTAGGAGTGGCATTGCTAGATCTTATGGCAGTTCTAATTTTAGTTTTTTGAGGAGCTTCCATTCTGTTTTCCATAGTGGTTATACTAATTTACAATCCCACCAGCGGTATATGAGGGTTCCTCTTTCCCCTCATCCTTGCCAACATTTGTTGTTGTTTGTGTTCTTGATGGTAGCCATTTTAACAGGAGGAAAGTAGAATCTTAACATGGTTTTGATTTGCATTTCTTTTATGGCTAGGGATGTTGAGTATTTTTTCATGTGTTTTTTTAGCCATTTTTCCTTTGAAAAAATTCTGTTCAGTTTATTTGCGCATTTCTTCATTAAATCATTGATTTTGGGGGAGAGTTTAGTTTTTTGAGATCCCTGTATATTCTAGTTATCAGTCTCTTGTCTGATGTATAGTTGGCAAAGATTTTTCTCCCATTCTGTGAGCAGCTTCTTCAATTTAGAAACCATTTCTTTTGTTGTGCAGAAGCTTTTTAATTTTACGTCCTCTTATTTGTCAATGCTTTCTCTTAGTTGCTGAGCCATTTAAGTTCGATTAAGAAGTAATTGCCTGTGTCTATTCCAGTGTATGCCCTGCTCTTTCCTGCAGTAGCTTCACTTTCAGGTCTTTAATATTAAAGTCCTTAATCCACTTTGAGTTGATAATTGCACAGGGGAAAAGACATGGATCTAGTTTCAGTTTTCTGCAGGCACATATTCAGTTTTCCCAGCAACATTTTTTGAAGAGGTTGACTTTTCTCCATTGTATATTTTGGGAACCTTTGTCAAAAGTTAGGTGGGCGTAGCTGTATGGATTCATATCTGGTCTTCATGTCTGTTTTTCTGCCAGTACCATGCTGTTTTTGTTGCTATGGCTCTGTTGTATAGTTTGGATGTTGTGATACCTGCAGTGTTGCTCTTTTTGCTCAGTATTGCCTTAGATATTCAGTCTTTTGTGCTTCCAAATGAACTTTAAGGTTGATTTTTTTCAATCTTTGTGATGACTGTCATTGGAATTTTTATGGGATTGCATTGAATATGTAGATTGCTTTTGGTAATATAGCCATTTCCACAATACTCTGCCAGTCCATGAGAATGGGAGATCGTTCCATTTTCTATAGTTCTTTTTGATTTCTTTTTTCAGTGGTTTATAATTGTCATTGTAGAGCTCAAATGAACTCAGAGGATTTTAACAAACTTTGAAACAAAACTAAGGACATTATAAAAAAAAGATAAATGGAATAAAGAAGACATACAATATATAAAAGAGGAATTTAACAAAGATATGGAAAGGTTCAAAAAAAAAATCAAACAAATCCTGGAAACAAAAAGTTCCTTAAGTTAAATAAAAAAAAAATACTGTTGAAAGTCTCTCCACCAGACTGGAACAAATGGAAGACAGAATTTCAGGGCTTGCAGACAAATTAGACATTAAAGAAAAAACAGAATTCTTAGACAAAAGACTGAAGAGTTGCAAAAGTAATATCCAAACCTGCAAATTATGGGCATTAAGTATACATAACATATTCAACAAAATAATGGCAGAAAATTTCCCAAATTTTGAGAAAGATATGCCTATTCATGTACAGGAAGTCTCTAGGACACCAAACAGACATGACCAAAACAGAACCTCTTGATGGCATATTATATTTAAAACAACACAGAATGAGGGAAGAATATTGAAGGTGTAAGAGAGAGAAAAATCAATGAATAGACTGAGAAAGAATATTGGAGTATCTTTTTCCATTTTTTTCACTTTCGGTCTGTGTTTGTCTTTGCCAGTGAGGCATGTTTCTCACAGGCAGCAAATAGTTGGGTCTTGTTCCTGATCCTAGTAGTTAGTCTGTGTCTTTTTTAATTTTTGGCAAATTAAGACCGTTGTATTCAGAGTTGCTTTTGAAATCTATGTACTCATTCTTGTCATTTTGGTTTTACAGTGAAAATCCTCATTTGCTTATCTGACCTTCAAGTGAAATTTATTCCTCTTTTCATTCTCATGGCTGTTTATCTTCCACTTTTGTGTATAGTGTTCCTTTAAGTATCTTTTTTTAATTTTTATTTTATCATTTTTACATTCACTTACATGTGTATACCTTGTAAGTATCTTCTGCAGTGCTGGCTTTGTGGTCATGAATTTTTTTGTTTGTGCTTATGTTGGAAAGTCTTCATTTCTCTTTCACATCTAAAATAAAGTAATCCAGGTTAACAGTTATTTTCTTTCAAGGAAGTATATTATTCCGTGTTCTCCTTACTTTTGTTCCTTTTTAAAAATTTTTTTCACTTAGCACTTGGGATTGATCTGAAGGCTTTGTGCATGCCAGGCAAGCATTCTACCATTTGAGCCACACCCTGTCCTTTCTGCTTTTGTATTTCAAATATTATATCATGTTAATTTTGCCAAAGCTGGCCTTGATCTGCAATCTCCTGAGTGGCTGGAATTATAATCTTGTACCACCATGCCTGGCCTGACTTGGTCATTTCTTAAAAACCAAATTGCCTTCATTTCATTGTACGAGCTCTTTTTATGTTTTATAATCCCTTTGTCCTATATTTATCAAATATCTTCTCCCAGTGTGGTGCTTGTCTTTTTTGTTTTATAGTTTCTTAACTGCCTTTTGAAGAGAAGAAAATTTTAATTTTGATGAAATTACCATTTTATCAACCACTTCTTTTTCTTTTGTTTGAGGCATGGTCTTGCTGTGTAGTGAGGCTGCCTGGAACTCATCATCCCCATGCGTCACTTCCCAGTGCTAGGATTTTGACCTATGCTTTTCCTATCATACTTAAGTTTATCTTTGCCTTACCTAATTCTTCAAACATACTATCTTCTCCCTTTCCATGTGAACTTAATAGTTCTAGCTCTTACATTTAGGTTCATGATCCATTTAGAGTTAACTTTTATGTATGGTATTAAATAATGGTTGAGGTTCATTCCTACTTGACCTCATATGGATATCCAGTTGTTCTCACACTAATTTTGGAAAGACTATTACATTACTTTGGCACCATGGTTGAAAACCAATTGTCCCTGTAAGTGCACATCTATTTTTGTCTCTGATCTGGCTTTGTTCTGTTCCATTGGTCTATGTACTGAAACCACCTCTGCCAGTTACATATGTTACTTGTAGTTCTGACCATTTATCTTTTTTCTTTCTTTTGAACCCAGAAAACAATTCAATATTTTATTGGGATTCAGTATTTTTTCTGCTGTGACTTCTAGAAATGTTCTGATTTCCTGACCTAGCAACTACTTTACTCTGGAATGACTGACTGTGGAAATACCACCCCTTCAAGGGCAGTACTATCTTTCCCATAAGAGGGTGGACTTTCTTCTGGACCCTGGTGGATACCAAAATTGGCTTAGTGAATTCAAGGTCACTGCATATCCTTGCCCTTGGGTTCCTGTTTGTGTGGTATCCACAATGAAGGCCAATGTCAGCTGTATCCAACCCCACCCATTTGCTTTGTGTATTCTCTTGCAATATGAGGAAAAGTTCACTTGCTTGCCTTTCCTGTCATTTGCTTTTAAATCTCAATTCTGTATTTTGTGTGAACAACTGTTCAAATGAGAGCACATACAACCTCTCAAGAATAGATACTTTCAGACTCATTACATCCCAACGAATTTAGCAAATATACTCTTTGGCCTCTCCTCCCCTATCCCTGTAAACCTTACCACTGAGCTCAATCCATAGCCCTGTTGGTAGGTTTTAAAAATTACCAACTCTTAGTATATCCAGAGCAAGGTTGAGTTAGAAATTCTTGGTGAAAGGCAATCAAGGAAGAGCATGAGCACCTTGGAGGGTGTAGAGAAGATGTGAACTGTTTCCTGTCCAAAGGGGTCATGGACTTGTGATGAGAGGAAAAAGTACCAGTAGTTGATGCCTTTTTGCTTTTTTCTGGACTCTTTTCTCGTAAATATGGATTAACTTGTGGATTTTTCTCTGTCATCTCAATTCTGTTATGTTTATCTCAGTTTAAGTCCTTAGTGTTTGCCCGTAACTTCTCACTTAATTAAATGCAGGTAAAAGTGACTGCAAACAGAAGTGTGGTCGGGTCTTAGGACAAGAGGATTGTAAGTGTTTGTTATAGGAACTGAACAGTATGACTTTATCCTTGGAGAGGAACGGGCAAGAAAGAAAACAAAGGATCTTTTGTTGAAGAACTCTTCCTTGGAGGGAAATAGCAACATATGTAGAGGAAGGAGAGAGATCACCACAGTGTATGACCAGGTGATGATTGTATTGGCTCAAACTGCTCAACATAGAGTAATGGGGAGTAAGGCCTCTGAATACTTTTACCCTTATATAGGAAGAGAGTTTTTTGTTTATTTGTTATTTAGAGTAAACTCAGAACTGTACACCAGTAAAATCTAAATCTTACTGCCTAAAAAACAAGCGCTCTTCCTCTTGAGCCACTCTGCTAGCCCCAAACTATAGATTTAGGGAAAACTATTGATCTTTTCATAATCCTCAGGTATTTTGATATTATAATAGTTATGCTAGATTTATTTTATGTAATCACAATATTCAACAGTGTTCCTAGAGTGAAAATATGAGAGCAAAAATGTTTCTGCATGCTAAATCTAAACATATGTAAAATTAGGGCTGAGGATACAGCTCATTGTTAGAGCAATTGTCTAGCATGCTTCAGGTTCTGGATTTGGTTTTCGGCAACTGCCCCTTCTCACACACAAAAATACAAAATTAGAGAATACATTATTACAATTTTTAATTTAGTCCATTATTTAGGAATAATTATTTTTACTTTAAGATGGATTATTTGTCCTCTTAATTTTAGTAAGTTATTGAAGAAATGTAAAAAGGGTATCACCTCATTAGAAAGTTAGTAAAGCCATTAGGTCTAAAGGTTAAATCTGTTCATCATTCTTTCATGAGGAGGTGAGAATTATAGACTCAAAAAGGATTTATCTTAGCAAAAGTTCTCTTCTCTGTGCTGGGAATCGAGTACAGAGCCTTGCACATGCTAGAGAAGTTCTCCCTGAGAAACTTCTAATTATCCATTACCCCTCCCTGTAAGTACATTATTAATGATAATTTTTCTCCTCGTGACTCTTAAGTAAATCTGAGATCTGGTGTTTGATCTCTTATGATCTGTTGAAACTTTAAGAAAAAATTCAGGATTATATTAATTGAAAGCTTGCTTCTTAAAATTATGTCTTAGAATTGCTTTTAAGATGACTTTGATAACTTGCTACTTTCATTCTAACAGTGACATTGATTGTAATTTTTTTTTTTTTTTTTTGTACTGGGGTTTGAACTCGGGGTCTTGAACTTGTCCCCAGGCCTTGCTGCTTTAGTTATTTTTTAGGTAGGATGGTAGGGTCTTCTTTTTTTTTTTCTTTTTTTTTTTCCCAGGCTGACCTGGACTGCAGTTTTCCTACTTCTGCCTCTCGGGTAGCATGATAAGTGGGATGTGAGATGACAGTGTGTACCACTTTTTTATATTTTGAAGTGGTGTTTCACTACCTTTTTGCTCAGTCTGACCTCGCCTTGATCTGCAATCTTCCTGATCTTTGCCTCCTTAGTAGTTTGGATTCACAGATGTGTGTGAGCCAAATGCCCAACTCAAAAGAAACTTTAAGTTAAGACTTTAAAAAAAAATTCTGTGTGTATGCGCTAAGGATTGAAACGCTGCTCCACTGAGCTACTTCCCCAGCCACTGGCATACATATAAGAGAAGACAACTGGGGTGTTAAAAGTTGTCAGTCTTCAATACTCTGGAAGACATTATCCCACAGTTATTATCCAGGTAATATACCGGACCATCTATTTATATCCACTTAGTCATGTCATGCAGTTGATGTGAGTGTGCATGGTTTCATTTGAACTCACCAAAACGTCTCTGAGGAAGAAAATCTCTCTAGGGAAAGAAGTAAAACTCTATGTTGACTTGCACATCAACTTAAAATTATAGTGGGAATTGTTAATTTGAGAAACAGGTACTTCTGAGAACTTTTCTTCTCTAACTGTTAAAACTCAGACTATCAGGATGCAAAGGTACTATGTAGGTAATCTCATCCAATGCATATTCTTCGCAGATAAGAAAAAAATTGTGGACCAGAAGAAGGTAGCTGATGGCTTTTGCTCTGTTAGCAGTGAGCCAAGATGGGTGTCTGAACCCAGTCCAACATCCCGAGTTTAGGTGTAGCTATTTCCCCTGTCCCTCACCTCCAGCTCAACCACATATTTCATTTTATCTAGGATTAACCTAATTTCTTATTTCAATAAATGTCTATGGTAATGGTACTTTACCTATATTTTACTTTATTTCTCTTCAGATTTAGAAATCTGAATAAAACAAGGGTTAGATTTAAAATTCTACGGTACCTTTCCTGCTTTAATCAGGCCAAAATATGTTCACATTATTACACATTTTTAAATATAAAGAGTATTTTCTGATAGTAAGCCACTAAAGATTTTTCTTTATTCACGTTCATAGCTATTTTCAAAAAGTTGGTCTGTTTTCCTCTAAGTCCAGTGCTTTCACTCACTGGCACATAATTTTTACGTAAACAAGTTTGGTAATGTCTGTGTAGGATTTTCCAATTGGTATCCTTATATTCCTGCTCGCTTGATCTTTTCCCATATTTAGATGAATTATTTGAACACTATTTAATTTAGATTTTCATAACTGGAAAAAACAAATTAGAGATTAGTTAATACAAAAATATCTCTGGACTTCTTTCTTACTGTTTACTGGTCTTCAGAGACACAAAAGAGGAATGCATGGTATTATGAGGAAATTATAAAATACCACAAAATTATTATAACCTTCTGAATAGCTTTCCTGTAAAGCTTATATTCGTTGATTTTTTTTTTTTCCCCCAGAAACCTTACAGAAGAAATTTCTTCAGTGCTACTCAAAACATCTTGTTCTGTAGTTTCAAGATATGTGGCAGCTTTTTTGTTTTTCCCCTTTCTTTTTTTCCTTTTTGCTTAGGTGTTCTCTTCTGGAGTGTTGATGCTTGTGGAGTGTTAAATTATCAGCTCAGTGACCTTCTCTGTCGTCATGTCCTTGGTCCAAGGCATTCTGAGAGCAGCTTTGTGTGTAGCGGTAACTGCAAATTGAGTGCATTTTTGTGGTGCTTTCTTAGTGTACCCAAGCACTGTGAACCATATTGAGGATTTTAGCCAACAGTTAAAAAATCGTTGGCAGTAGTTCCAGGCTTTTCACTTAACTTTGAGTTTCTTTGTGCTTTTTGTTGTTTTCTAATTCTAGTTAGGTAAGGCTAGAGGAGTTATGATTTAGCTTAATTTTCTTTTTCTGAAAAGTAGCTAAACTCGATGCTGTAGTTTTAGTTCAAGTGTAATTTTAATTTTGCCATATGTCCAGGGCAGTGACTTTGTCACTACCATGCATCAGAATCACCTGGATGGCCCATTAAACTATGTGTTACTAGACCCTTGACCTCAGGGAGGATACGCTTTAGGAAGGATCCTGAGGCACCTCTGGAGGAGGTGTGTTGCGGGCTAAGACCGAGGTGGGCAATGAAGTGCATTTGTGAAAGAAGAGGTACATTCTAGAGTTATCAGGAGCTGGAACTGATGGGATTTGGTGATGGGGAGGTGAGAGTTTGAGGGAAAGAGAGTGGCTTAGCTTAGGCCTTTTTAACTCTGAAACTTGGGGGCCCTTTGTCAGGGCTGAGCATCTGAAGGATGAACAGCCTTGGGGATTAGATGTTGTATGCATTTAAGAGCTTAAGTTTTAAATTATGGCAAGGATAACGACAGTATAACTATAAAGGATAGAGTTGAGAAAAATTTCCTGGGAATAGAATTGGACTCAGACTAGATATGGTGAGTGAGAGAGTGAGGGCTGGGGAAAATCATTAGATTCACTGGTGTAGAAAGGTTTCAAAACAGAATTCATTATAAAATGAGAACTGGTGGTCATGTCTATAATCTCAACACTGGGGGGAGGCTGAGGCAGGAAGGTCATAAGTGTGAGTCCAGCCTAGGCTGTATAGAGCGTTCCTGTCTCAAAAACAAAATAAACAAAAGAATAAAATGAGATAATTGAAATTGCAGTAAATGAAAGCCAGTTATGATATTCATTTGAAACATGTGCATTCTTTTTATATAGGCACTTGGTTTATATAGGGTATTTGGTGATATTCTGATATTATTCAGAAATTTCATGTGGAAGACTAAGTAAGAAATGGGGTTGTGTGTATTTGTACATATACATGTACATACTTATATACACACAAAATCAAGAGTAGTGTGTGTAAATGGAAGATTTTAGGTGATGCATCATGTTGGTTTCTAATGAAAGATAGTCACTTTATACAAATTATCAGTCAATTCCTTAAACAGTCAGTTCCTTCAATTTAATTTGTGTTTGTGAGAAAGGCTAGATGTGGGAAGTTTAGAAAATATGTCCACAAGAAATTTCTCATCCTTTTTTCTAATAGCATCTATACACTTATATTTTTGTAATTTGCTATGGGGAAGATGTTGTCTTCAAAGTTTTTTATTATTTTCCTAAAATAATTGGAATTTTCATGTGAAAATTTAGTAACAAATTTAGTTACTTAGTTCTGAATTGAGTTTCACTGGCATAAGTACAGATCCTGCTGCTGCCTGCACTGGTTGGCTGTGGGGGAGAGTAAAAATGGAGAATAAGGAGTGTCTCATGTTTTAGCCTTATGCTGCCTGTATGCTGTGAATAGATTTTTAGGTCTGATAAATTTAGGTTTAAATTATGATTCTATAAGAAAGGTAATTTATGAAAAAATGAAATATGTAACATAATGCTGACTACTACTTGTATTAATTTCCTGTTGCTACTGTAACAAAGTACCACAAAAATAAAACAACACAAATTAACTTTGTATTGTTTGGGATGGCATGCCCAAAATGAGTCTGAAGGAGCTAAAATTGGGCTCCAGGGGAGAATCAATTAACATTTTCTCCATTCACTTCTGGAGGCAGCCCGCAATCCTTGGCTCCTGGACACAACACTCCAGTCTGCTTGCATGATTGCATCCCTTTCTCTACAGTAGTCAGGCCTCCCTCTTGAACGATGTTTCTGATTACATTTTGTAGCAACTGGGATAATACAGGACAGTTACCCAATATCTTTAACACATCTTTAATCATAGCTGCAAAGTCACTTTTTCCATATGAAGTAACATTCACAGGTTTCAGGGCTTTAGAAGTGGACATTCCTGAGAAGGGGAGAATTCCATTATTTAATACACCACCATACTCAGTGAATTATCAAGACTTTAAATTGTGAACAAGAAACAAAGAATTAGAATGGAATCTCTTTTCTAAACTAGGAGGCTCATTTGTGTTGATACAATGTGGATTATTCAGATAAACCATGTTGAAGTGCAGATGCTATTTAGTGTGTGCATAGCCATTCTGGCTTGCATGAAATGTAGGATCCAAAATGTATAGATTAGGTAAGAGTTTAGATAAGGCTTAATTGGAGGAACATTAAGTTGGTCAGACTTTCTAAAAACATATTGCAGTGTCACTGTTGAAAAGTAAGATCAGATGCCTCATTTCTTATCACTTTGAATCTGAGAACAGTGAATCTAAGAGTTTTCCAAGGTAGCAGGAATGTTGAATTCCTCACTCTACTAACCATCATTCTTTCAGCCATAGTGTACTGTGCATTTATTGGGTCTCTCTTGTGATTCAGGCACTGAAGTGAGCCTTGCCTTTTCATCCAGCAGTATACTTTTCATTAACTTTTCAGATATGTAGTCCTTGCTTAGCTATTTGCTGTACTCATACTTTTAATATTTCCTTGCAGATCAGTTATTAAATGACCCTTTCAGCTAATTTTAGGCTCCTGATCGCCTCTAATATTTGCTTAGTGGAATTAGTTAAATTCTTATGTTTCTAAATCAGTTGTTTTCAACAATGGGCAGTTTTGTGCCCTACGGACACTTGACATTGTCAAGTGGACACACTTCTGATTTTTAAGACCAGGAAGGGTGGGGGCTACTGGTATTTAGGGGATGGAGGTCAGGAATGCTGTCTTGTATCCCACAATGCACAGAACAGTTCTTGAATCACAAAGAATTATATGGTTCATAGTGGTAATACTGTTGAGGCTGAGAAATCCTGCTCTAAACTTATGTCTATTAACCTTTGGCATAAGTAAAATTGTGAACAGTTTAGTTTTTTTTCTCTCTCTAGGGATTGTATCAATAGATATTAAACAATGGTTAAATGGAATAGATAAATTTAGGACAAAAGTCACTTATGAAATAAAACCTGGGTTAGGACTCTCTTGGGGTGAATACTAGATTTTGAAGCAAGTTTTATAGACAAGAAAGTAATTAAGAAATACAGAGATTTCTGAACATTATACATGAATAGTTTGGTATGTGTTATCTGATTATATAGGATTTGTGTTATAGACACATAGCATACATCTGAATTACAGCAAAGGGATTGGTTTATTGATAAAATGTACAAAAATCAACTTACATTATCTGCTTTACAGAGAACTTTCATATTCACCAGCAAGGAGATATGTATTTACATGCTAGGGACTTTATTGGCTTGCTTTTTTCCCCACAAAATTAAAGGTTGACATTAACTTCATTTCTTATGATAAAAAAAGTTACCTTCCAGACACTTAAAAGTTTACATTTAATCTGGCACTGCCTGCTTTATAATCTTCTTCTTCTTATTTTTTTTCTTTGCAGTGCTGGGGCAAACTCAGTGCCCTGGCATGCTAGGCAAACACTTTACCACTGAGCTATATCCCTGACCCCTATAATCTTATATTTACAAGTTTTTATTATATATTTATAACCTTATTTATAGTTATAGGTTCTCTTTTTACAGAAGCACTCTTAGCAGGATCTATCAGTAGTAAAGTATGGAAAATCAATACTTTGCAGTTCCTCTGTCTGAGAACTAATGTGATAATGGTATTTCATTTACTTAGAAGTCTTTTAAAAAGTGCTTTGGCAGTTTTCCATCTGTGGAATCCTGAAATGAGTTGTATGTGCAACTCACGTCAACATTTTGCTGTCCCCTATCACCATATAGGGAATTTCTACCTTTGTTTTTGGAAGATAGACCTGGGAGGGACGTAATTATTGGCATAGATAGGCTTTGAATTAACACTTTGAGAAAATATTGACAGCTACATTTTAGGATATTATACAGAGTTATTTTTCAGTAGAAAGTATTATTATATTAGTAGAAAGTTTTTGTGATTATACCAATACAGAATCTTGAAGAAGTCCGTGAATCACATCAGGTCTTCATGGTCTTGTGACCTTGGGAAAGTTTCTTAAGCTTCTTAGGTTTGTTTCCTAATTTCTAAATTATTAGATTGCCATGTGTATTAAAGGAGATAATAGTGTAGACGAGTCAGCATAATTGATATAAAGGCAGTCATTAACGATTATACAAATTATGTATGTAAGTATAAAGTAGAAGTTAGAACACAATTGGAAAGCACTGATAATAATATGCTTAAGATTTTGATAATTGTTCTGCCCAAAAATTTAAGAAGTGAAAATTTCATACTATGAATAAAATGGATCTCTTGATATAGGACTTCTCAAAACTTTAATTTGATATTTTATATATATCCAAGATGACAAAATAGGGTGTCATATTTTTCACAACATTTTTATCCGGAAGTCCTATTAAATTTTTGCTAGTTTCTTCTGTTCTGTGGAAGAATTTGGGACACATGTGAATAAAGTAGATCACCTGGCACATGACTTTTGTTCCAAAATCATGATCCTAAGCAGTAGAATATTTTTGTAGTTGAGTTTTGTATTGTCTTTGAGCATGGGTTAAAGTCTGGAAAGACACCCGAGGGACGTCTTGTTCAGTAATCTCTTGAATTTTATCTTCTACATCAATGATTTTGGTAAGTTTTTTATTTGTTACTCTTGTTTTCACCTTTGAGGAGAAGCTGTTGCAATTTAGTCATTGTGTGTGGGTGCATGTAGCTATCATGAGGGTTTAGATAGTCATCCACCAGTCACTCTTGAGCCCTCTTCTAACACCTTCACAGGAGTTAATTGACTTGGTTTGCCCCTTGCTCCCTCTTGCTTTCAGTGAGGTAGGCCACTCCCATCACCCTGGGTGGTCTTTCTTAATTTGCTTTTCTGGTTTCTTCACTGCTTCTTAACCTGGGTGTGTTGGGTTTCCCAGGGCTCAATCCTTGGCCTTTTCTCTGTGTGTTTTGTACTTGTTTTCCAGGTGATCACATTCAGTCTTATGGCAGCATTTTCCTCTGTGTGCTAGCAACTCCCCACAATGTATCCCTAGTCTAGATTTCTACTTCGAACATCTTACTTAAATGTCTCATTACCAATGACCTATTTGATCTTTGCCTAAGTGTCTTGACAATCTAGCACTGTTACTTATAGGACACGAGACGATGGTAAGTTTGTCTAGTCTTTGCTTCAACACAGTCCATACAATTGAGTGTCCTCACTCTATTTAATAAATGGATCATACAAAATGGCTCTCAATTCTGTTAAGTAGTTGTCTCAGTATAGTCTATTTCTGGTTTACCTTTAATGAGTTATACATATGAGTCTCAACAGTGAGTTCAGCTGTATGTAAAAGCAATCTTGTTACATAAAGTGGAAAAGAAGAATTACAAGAGTGTCTGGTTGAGAAAGTTTGGTGTAAAACCCACCACTCGGCTCCTGGACGGCACTCATCATTTCTATCAGTGTATCTTTGAATTTTTTTCCTCTTTCTCTTGAAGTGAAACTTTGCTATTTTTATATTGTGTGGGAAGGGTGTGAAATTTAATAACAAGTTATTTTTAACAAGAGGGAACTTATTCATGTCATGATTGTAATAAGCATATTGCTAGGGCAAAAACTGTTGAATTTCTAAGTTTTTCTCATATAGGTAAGTATTGAAATTAGGTTTATGTGTTTATGCTAATTATCTCCCGGTGTGGCGGCATTTTCTCCAGTGTCATTTGTATGGTTTCCATGCTCATTAGAGCTGCATTTTGTAGAAATGGCAGATTCAAATATGTGAGTCACGTCTCCAACATCACTGGAAGGTTGTCAAATGGAGTGCAGTTTCATTTTTAGGATGAAGGTAGGAGGGAAGGAAGAAGAATTTCAATTTTTTCTTTTAATGCAGCTTGGTTTTTTGAGACATGGAAAGGAGTAAAGTGTTCTAAGAATTCATCTCTAACTTTTATTGTCACATCTATTTGACACAGTTGAAAGGTGGTAGTATTCTGTTTTAAATAATGCAATGGATGAACTTCCATTAATAGAAAATGAAGCCACTACCTGCTTCCTAAATTTCTAATTTGATTCTGGCATTTCAAATAGAAATGGCCTCTTTCTTTTGAGACAGGAGTGTTGGCAATTTTCTTACTGTTTCTTAAAAATTCTTCTGGTGTCCTAGGGTTGCTCGGAACTCAGATGTTCCTCCCATTTGGAGAAAGGCTGTCTTGTTGCATATATAAAAGTGATGTTGCTTGCTATGTTTTGAATGTGTCCCTAAGAGTTCATGTGTTGAAAACTTAATCCCCCATGCAACAGTGCTGGGAAGTGGGACCTCTAAGAGGGGAGTAGGGCTCTGGCCTCATTAATGAATTAATGGTCTTGTCACAGGAGTGGGCTAGTTATTGCAGGAGTGGGTTCCTAAGAAAAGAATGAATTTGGTTCCCTTCTTTTTCTTCTCCTACCCCTCTCCACCTTCTGCCTCATTAGATACAGGTCCCTTGACTTTGGACTTCCAGAATTATAAGAAACAATTTTTTTCTTTGTAAATTACCCAGTCTGTGGTATTCTGTTCTAGCAACACAAAACATACTGACACCAGTCTCCTGTCATTGAAGGATATCTGCTTCTAATTGTCTCTGCCGCCTTACTGCCACATAACACCTTCGCCCTTACCCTGTACATCTGACAGATTTAAACCAGATGCTGGTACACATTTTTCTTCTTGTGAATACTTAGGAAAATCATGATTCAGGATTTTTTTTTTTAAAGTTGTAAACAGGTGGCCAGTAGCGTGAACCTCTGGAGAGCAGAGATTACTTCGTGGCTTGGAAAGGGACCAAGTACCTGGTGATCCCGGCTTCTCTAATATCGACCCAATTCCCAACAGACAACTCCCAGGTCAGCCGGTGCCACCCAGGGCAGAGCTGGGTTGGAATGAGTCTCTAGGAAGAGTTCTCTCCTTGCCCTGGGAAGTAGCTTAGAGATACAATCAGTTAACAAGCTGCAGTTCTGGGTAGTATAGGGAGGCAGGTAAAAACTTACTCTGGTAACAGGGAAGAGACTGAGCTTGATACTTTACTGTGCTCCAATCCCTCATAGAATTCCAGATTTTTTTCTTAGCTGGTGAGACCTGGAGAGGTGGCAGGTGGGGCCAGGCTTCTTAACCTTTTCTGTTATGATCTGCCCCATGGTACCTGAGGCATTCCTACTTTATCTGAAATTCCAGTGCTTTTTATCACATACTTCTTTATGTAATGGTTCAGTTAGAACTGTGTTTGATCTTAACTGAGATTGTCTTGGACAGGTTCAGGCTGAACAGTGAGAGAAGTGGGTTTGGAGCCTGAAGAATTCAACTCATGGAATTATGATGGTGGGGGCAGAGCATGAGAAAGTTGAGCCTTCCCGTGTTGCAGATGAGAAATTTGGTACATGTTAGAGCGACAGAAAAAGTGGGACTCTGTGTCAAACCCTATGAAACCTTATTCTTTGGGAGAAGAAAGTTCTTCTGTCTCTCTTGGTCCTTGATCTGCTGACCTGGCTCTGAATGGCTTTAGGTAACGTATATGAACACTTAAATCCTTGTCTGTCTTTGCTGGGATATAGCCACATGTTGGAATTGCTCTAGCTCTCTGCAGTCCTTGGAGGAGAGCAGGAAAGGCTGTGTGGATTCTGTGTGTGGGCCCAGAGTTAGCTCTTTGAAAGAAGATTTTGGAAATATTTTTGTGTGACACAGCTGGCTGGCATACACTGGTAAATTATAATCTCATTCATTAGCACTTTGTTCTCTAACTGTGCTGGCAGATATGAGGTTTTTGGTTGTGTTGACATATTTTTTCTCATACATTGATCTTTTGGAAAACTTAAGAGTATTTGGCCAAGGCAGACTCTGATACTTCAAGGATGGAAGGAGAGGGCTGGTTTGGTGCCAACATGAGGTCTGGACATGAACATTTAATACTATTATCTTGCCCTTTGTTTGACATTATTCTAGAAATAATTTCTGATCCTTGTTTAAAGCTGGAACTCCATGGTAGGAAGGCAATGAGAACATAACAGGGGAGTGTTGTAACTTATGTTTCTCTTCTGGGGAAAACCTTTATTGTAGGGTAGAAGTTGACTGTTCTCTGGCTACCGTCTTTCCCTGAGGTGGATAATTGTGGATAGTCTTGAAATGTCTCATTTATTTGTTCTGCTTGGGTTAAGCACTTTTAAAATCTCTCATTGCAGCCTGGTGAGACTGTACTGATCATATTTCACAGGTGAGCCTGTGGAGACAGGGTAATATGAACAAGTTCCCACAGCTGGCAAAGTGGAGCCAGAAGCCACAGGAGGGCAGAGCCCACAGTCCTTAGTTGAGCTGCCTCTCATGGTGGTGCCAGCACAGCATCTCAAGGAGAGTCAGTGTCTGTGTGGACTTGACTTCCCTGGCCTTTTGCTTAGAAATGATTTCTTGATGGATTCACAGGAGAGTATTTAAAAATCTTTGAGTAGAGAAAGGATCAGACCTAGAGCTTCCTGGTTCCAAGTGTACCCAGTAGCTACTAGGATATGGTGGTAACAGCTAGATGAGATGACTGATGACACATGTCTTCTCACCCTGCATCAGAAGGTAGCAAAAGAATTATTAAAACTCTGCAATTTTCTATAGTAAAAATAATAGCAAAGAAATTTAGCATAACAGGATAAATGGGGGGAAAAAAGAGAAGCATTTCCTGCCCCTTCCCCACACACAAAATGGGAGTAGAGAAACTCCTGGCCTTTGCTTTTGTAGCTGTCTTTTTAACTTAAATATATGATTGTGAAGAATTCTATTTTACTGCAATTTTAAAACAAGCCAAATTGCCAAATTATGAGTATCACTACAGTTTATGTCAAATTTGGACATGTGTTAAGTAAGCTAATGCAGTTTAATTGTTCTTTGACATTATATGACTATTAACAATCTCCTGGGGATTTTAGACTTTTCTTGCTAACCTACATTTCTATGTCAAGTACATATATTTGCTAATGTTTGAGAGCATCTGTTTACCATGAACTATGCTAGGCATTTTAAAACATTTTTATGTGCTTCCCAAGTGGGCAGACAGTATCTTAAGGCACTTGGGTTATAGCAGACAAAACCAAACCTTTTTAGATTCATTGTGCAGGAGAAAGATACATACATGTAAATGGTTATAAATACCAAGGAGTGGGGTGGGGGGAGAAGGCAGGATGAAGACGGGGAGCCTTAGGCAGGCTGGTTGTAATCTGAGCATCTGGACCCAGCAGGGCTTCACTAGGAGGCCTGTGTGGCAGAGTGGGAGTAAAAGGGATGGGCACTGGGCCCTCACCTGGCATATGTCTGCACTGATGACTGATTCTTGATAAGTGTGCCACCGTGAGGCTAGGGATTCTACTAAGGGCATTTCTTCCTAATCTGGGACATTATTCCCACTTTATCAGAAGGAAACTGAAGCTGAGACTCAAGTAAATGTCCCAGATAAATTCAGCCAGTGGGATTCAGATCTGACTCCAGGCCCCTTGCTCTCATGGACGCTACACTTTGGGTGAGTTACTCAACTTTGGAGATAAGGCTGTCTTATTTTTGGTTTCGATGGGTTGTGGCATAACTTGGCTGGCTTACACAGGTCTTGTTACCCTCACACTTGTTCTGTTTAAAGGGTTGCGGCCTGTGGTTCTCCCAGGCAAGCAGCTGCCTGGTTCCTCCCTTCAGGCAGTGAGATGTTTGTGTGTCAGAGAGTGAACTCTACTCCAGCAAATCATTGACCACTTGAATTCCTGGCATTACACTTCAGTGATAGGACACTAATTTGGCTGGCCTATGTATCATTGTGTTCAAGAGTGCATTGTAAATACTCATATTTAGAAGGGAATGTAAAGTGAATAAAGGTCAGTAATGCAAAGGTCACCACTTGAGTGTCTATCACAGAATGGGCCTTCCCTTGTATTTCCAGTGATTGTTTCATTGTGATAAAAACTCAAAGGAAGATGAGTGTGTTGGTTTGGAACCCTTTGTTGAGGGCCATGGAAAGGAGGTCAGGGGCTTAAAGAAGTCCTTTGTTGCTCCTGCTTTGAGTGGCTTTTGATAAAAGTGGGATAACTTTGGGACCAGTATATCCTTTATACTGAGTATGGATGGTTATTTTTGTGCTTTGAGGTGTATATGTTGGTTATTAATCTAATTACAACTCTTATTTTCCATTGTCAGTCTCTGGTGACTTAATACTTCCAAAATAAAATACTATTATTAATTTTTACTAGATGATTTTGTTTTTACTCAAGAGATAAATTATGGTTTGAGCACTTGGGCTGTGAAATTTGTTCTTACTTTTTTGAAGCGTAAAATACCTAAAGAAAAGTATATAATGCAAATGTGTAACTTAAGATTCATTTGAAACATAAAAGTGTACAATTCAAAGATTTATTTACTGAATACACTTGGGTAGCCAGCTTCCAGATCAAAATACAAATTATTAGCATATAAGAGATCCTGCCCTCTGCCTATGACATCCACCATTCTCTCCCTAAGAGTAATCACTATCATGACTTAGTGTATCTTTGTTTTACCTGTTCTTGTATTCATATTATTCCATTCATATTATCTGTTCTTTTTTGTGTGTGGCTTCTTTTTCTACCTCTTGTTTGTGAGATTGAACCATATGGTTGAATATAGTTGTAGGTTGTTTGTTTTCATTGCCATGTAATATTTAGTTGTGTGAATATTTCATAGTTCTTACTACTGTTACATATATATATTCCAGTTTTTGCTGTTAGATATAATGGTGCTATAAACATTCTTGTATGTGACTTTTGGCGAAAAAATAAGTTGTGTTTTGAGCCATATACCTAGAAATGGGATAAGGTCATACAATATAAACGTATTTATCTTAAAAAGATACTACAAGTGGGTTCAAAGTTAGAGTCTGCATAAATTTCAAGCAGTAGTATGAGAACTTGTAAATTTTATTGGTGAGATGCTTTTGGGAGTTGATTGGGTTTCAACATTGCTTAAAATGAAAACACAAAATCTATGAATAGCACATTTGAAATATCAGACTATAATGGATAAAACATAAAAGAAACTTTTTAAAATAGAAAGCTGATATTTAATCATATCAGTGACTATGAAAAAATTGTTCTGGTATGTGCTCTAGATTTAACTTGCAGGTGATAATTAATATTCATTGAAATTTAGAATAAAACAATTTTTACTTATAATTAATGTGAGGTCCACGAATATTACTTAATAGATATTTTCTTTTTCTTCACAGGCAAGAAGAGACTGATAGGAGAGTGAAAAATGTAAGCTGTGTTTACTTTAATGAAGCATTGTACATAGTTTTTACTTTCATCTTCTGTTAGAAAGTAGTGGATTGAAAACTACTCTGAATATTTTTTCTAATTAAATTTTACATAGAAACCAACCTATCACAAATTCTAAATGCACTTAAATACATGTATTATCATATTTGGCTAGAAAGTATGTTCTCAGATCTTATGCATGTGTTGTGATTAGGTTAGAAAGCTGGCAGTTGTGTTACTTATCTGGTAAGGGAAAACTCATTTTAGGATTTTTAGGGGAACAAGTAAGAAATCATCAAATCAGACTTGAAGGGAAAACACTGAATGTTGAAGAACTCTAGGTAATTGTTCAGTGTAAACTCACAGAACGTCCTTAATATCCCACATAGTAGAAGAATATCTTAAAGTGACATATTTACTTAGTGTTCTTATTAAGGAAGCTGAGGATTACTGACTTGGGGTGTTTGGTCTGTAGTTTTACTGGAAAAATATTGGTGAATTAAAAAGTTTCACTTGTGTTTTTCTCTTAGAAAGTTTTTTCTTCTTTACTGGTAGAGTGCATGAATACCTTTTGGGATCTGGGCTTTTTGAACTGAGAAAGTCAGCAGAAATAACAAAATCTAGCAAGAATAATTAAGCTTTTTTGTGGCCCTTCTTTCCATAAATTTAAGAGTGCCTGCCTTTCAACCACAAAGTACTGTTACCCTTTGTAATTTGAGCCTCCTGAACCAAATTTGAGGTTACTGAATGGACTGATCTTGTTTTTTTTTTAAGGTTTTGATAACCTTGTACTGGCTGGGAAGAAAAGCACAAAGCAACCCCTATTATAATGGTCCCTATCTTAATTTGAAAGCATTTGAGAATCTTTTAGGACAAGCTCTGACTAAGGTAAGGAAACTGCACTGTAAGAGATGACTACTGTAACTAATATGGTTACCCTCTCACTTCCCCTTCTCCTCCTCATCTGTAACAGCATGGCAGCTCTGACAGTCTTTGCTCCCCTCTAGACTGGACTGAGTAGTAGGATCATTTGCTGGCTTTTGTCAAGGAATGAGTTAGTCTATTCCAGAACTCTTTCAAAGGATCAACATCTTTTTTTCTTTCGGTATTAGGGTTTGAACTCTGGGCTTCATGTTGCTAGTCAAGACTTTATCACAAGAGCCACATCCCCTGTCCTTTCTTGCTTTATTTTTCAGCTAGGGTCTTGCTCTTTTTGCCTGGGCTCGCCTCAGACTGCAATCTTCCTAACTCCACTTCCTACCTAGTTTGACTTACAGGTTTGCACCACTGTGCCAGCTTGTTTGAGATGGGAACTCAAAGACTTTTTTGCCTGTGCTGGCCTTGAGCCTTGATTCTCACCATCTTTACCTCTGAGTAACTGGGATTACAAGCATATCCATGCCTGGCAAGATCGATCTTTTAATTTTAAGTAATTTGATACACACATTTGTTTCTTTTCTTATATACAATGTAACTGCTTCTATACTCATTATGAACTCAACCTGCAGTAAAAAGTATTTCCAGGGCTATTAAAATTTATGGAAATTACTCAATTTCTTTTATAGTATGTGTTCTTGTCAGGGGTAATTATCTTTAAAGTCTATATTCTAATGTCACCATTCTGCATTTGTTTCCTAAAGAGTGGTTAGTGCTCTTTATGTTAGAATCCTTGGTTTTACACAAATTTCTATTCCTTCATATCGTGGACTCAATATGACGGCCTGCTTAATGCTTTTGAATTCTCTACTCCATTAGAGCCAGCTGCTGAAACTAACCACATTTCTTCCCAACCTTTATATGTAAGGCACTAATGGGAAAACAAATTTCTCTGTGGTGATACTTTTCCAGGAGAATTTACAAGCCTCAGAATAAAATATGTACTCAAAATGATAAAATACTGACTAGTTAATGATGGCTGCTTTTGTTTTTTCTTTATTTTTGAGACAAAGTTTCTTATATAGCCCAGGCTGGTCTTAAACTTACAGTTCTCCTGCCTTAGCCTCCCAAGTGTTGGGATTACAGAAATGTGCCCAGGCTGGTCTTAAACTTACAGTTCTCCTGCCTTAGCCTCCCAAGTGTTGGGATTACAGAAATGTGCCATCATGTCTTGCTTGGTGGTTGCTTTATGGGATTATCTGATAATTAAATTTTGCACTACTGATAAAAAATTTAGTATTAGTTTCTGGCACACTGTAAGACTGCCATAAATGTTAGGTATAATTAGAACACAGAAATTTTAAGCCAGGATGAAAATAATACCTTGCTCTACATCTATACTTATCTTTAAAAATCTTTAAATATTTTCCCCAGCCACATACATTGTAGAGATGGAGCCTAAAGTGTTTGGGTATTTTCTTTATTTTTTTGAACTGCAAATAATTGAAAGCACTTTATTCAAATTCCTTGAATCACCTATTCAGGAAGTAGTTGAACACATGCACATATGCTGTAGTCATGACAAATTACCCATCCTCACACGACATGGCTGTCCAAGACAGACCAGTGGATCAGTCACTGTTATGAAAGAGGGTGAGGCTCCAGTGGAGGAATTGCAGGGAGCTTTGGGCCCAAGGAAAACCTAGTTTTACAGTGGTTTCAGCTAAGAAAATATTCAAGTAAAACCTAAGTGGGACTTTGGTTCACGTAGTAGAGCTCTTTACAATCTTTGGAACTTTTTATAATAGTGTGACTCAGGCTGAATAATCTTACTACAGAGTTTCTACTAGGAATGACCCTCTAAAGGTCATTTCCTATCATCAGTGTTGACGTCAGGGAGTAAAAAGAATTTTTGGTAAATAAAGCTATAATTGTGGTCTGTAATTCTATTGTTATGAAGTGGAATGTACCATTTGTTTTGCGTCAAAACCCCTTCCCAGTAAACTAGATATGCTTAAGGCCAATCCAGAATTTCAATTAAAAAATCCTTGGTGTGATGTGTTGTGCAATAGTCAGTTTACAAGTTGGAGGCAACTCGCTGTACACTTGTCAGAGTGAGGTGCTCCAAACCGTGCTCCAGGGCCAGACTTGGGTTATTTTTTAGCTCAGTGATCCATCGTCACTTTAACATTTATGATGTCAGAAATCATTGTTCTGTGTGATTAACTCAGCCACTTATGTGTTCAAGAGATCTGATGGAGCTGAAGATTTTCTTTAAAATGTTCCATCTTCTATTTTGAGACATATTTTGTTCGCACCAGCACTGGGCCTAGCCAACCCATCTGCTCAGAAATAGCAAGTGTAAGATAGGTGCTGGCGTTTTCATGACAGGATGTCAATGCTAATGCAAGGATGCCTGGCACCTACAGCATGTGAAATCTTAAATCTGTGAGACCTATTGGAGCTTCAAATACTTGTCAAACAATTGAACCATGAATTGAACTGGTATTAGTTAAAAGTATAATCAGACTAATTATTCATTGTGAACACTGTTCAGCCTTTTCATATGTCAAAGGTATTCATAATGAAAAGCTGAGAAAATAATACAGCAAATACCCACATAATTATCTGACTCAATTTAAACTGGCCCATTTTGGCTTTATCTATGTATTTATCCAATTCTGTATTTTTATGTAACCATTTAAAGATAAATTGCAGATATTCAGATATCATATCTCACTCCTAAGTACTTAGCATGCATCTCTTTAGGATATTTCTCTACATAGCCACAGTGCATGTTATATTTAAGAAATCTTCTAAATACTCCCCATTATTTAATATCTAGTGCGTTTCCTAAGTCTCTCAAGTACTCCTCATAGCTTTTTTTTAAATAACTGAATCATGATTTAATCAGAGTTCACATTTTGTTAGTAATTTCTAAGTTCTTTAGATGGTCTTTCTGTATTAGAAATCTCACCTGAAAGTAATATTGCTGATTTCTAGCTAAGTTAAATCCAAAATTTAAAAGGTTAAGGTTTTTTTGCCATTCTATTTCAAAGGAGTGTCAGTTAAAATGCTTATTTTGAGTAAGCCCTGTATAATTTACAAGCCTGTTGGTAGCAGCATTTGTCATGCACTTTTGTATCTCTTATATGAGTAAAACCAATACTTTCTTTAGATCCAAGGAAGCTAAGTCTCACATTTCAGCAAACGAGTATGCTTCCCTTGACTCAATAAGATCTAGGTGTCATAGTTAGTGAAAACAAATTAGTTCTATACCGTAGATACCCACTTATCTTGCTCTTTTTCTATTAACTTGATTGTTTGAGAGTGGGAAACTATTAAGGTTTTAATATAAAGCACGTGAATATTTTCTAGGGATAGAAGGAATAATCTTACTGACTTAGCGCCCTTGGGGTATCCACATCAACGCTGGTTTTTCTCTTTGACATCTCTTGCATTTATTGCCAGAGAACTGTCAGTAATCATAGATTTATCATTTCAATGTTATTCTAATTAATTTTGGCTTTGTAAGACTATTCTCTCTTCCTTATTGTAAAGACCATACTACTTTATTCAGTAATATCAACTATCTTCTTATTGTTACATTGAACACAGATTATTTTCTGATTTTTTTATCAGCTCTTTTTCTTGTGTTCAACAGGGAAATCTCATTGCCTCACCTATCAAATAAATTTTATACTAACTTTCTATTCTTTTCATTTAATTTTTGGCCGTACTAGGGTTTGAACTCCAGAGTTCATGTTTTCAAGGCAGGCACTCTACCACTTGAGCCATGCTTCCAATCCTTTTTCTTTGGTTATTTTGGAGATAAGGTCTCGCTTTTTGCCCAGGTTGGCCTGGAACTCTAATCCTCCCAATCTGAGTCTCCTGTGTAGCTGGGCTGACAGATGTGCATTACCATGCATGCCTGTTGATTGAGATGGGCTCTCAAGACCTGTTTTCACAAGGGCTGGCTTTGAATGGAGATCCTCCTGATCTGTCTCCCAAGTAGGTAGGATAACAGATGTGAGCCACTGTTGCCTGGCTTAATTTACTATTCTTTATCAAATGCCTTTTTTTAGGCACTTGAAGACTCCAGCTGTCTGAAAAGAAGTGGACGGGACAGTGGCTACGGTGATATCTGGTGTCCTGACCGAGGAGAGTTTCTTGTTCCTCCAGGCAGACATAAGAGGGACAATTCCTTTGAAAGCTTGGACTCTTTGGGATCTCGATCATTGACCAGCTGTTCCTCAGATATCAGCTGTCTGAAAAGAAGTGGACGGGACAGTGGCTACGGTGATATCTGGTGTCCTGACCGAGGAGAGTTTCTTGTTCCTCCAGGCAGACATAAGAGGGACAATTCCTTTGAAAGCTTGGACTCTTTGGGATCTCGATCATTGACCAGCTGTTCCTCAGATATCACACTGAGAGGGGGACGTGAAGGTGAGTTGCACTTTGGGCTGTCATTTTTTTTTTTTTCATAGTAAGAGAAAATTTGGAATCAGTGAAAGTAGAAAAATGGAATGAAAACTGTTTATGCAAAAACTTCACCAAGCAGTGGGTTTTAGGAAGGACTTAACTGGGAACTGGGGTATCTTGATTTTTTTTCTCTCTCTCATAATGAGAGTCTCCATATTTTTTTCCCATCCATTGTTGGATCGGACTCATGAGGAGATAGTTCACTGTGACCTGTTTTCTCAGTGAGAATCTTTATTTACAGATTTAGCCTCAGTGATCAGGACCTATGAGGCCTGTTAGCTCATGTATATACATACAAAAAAAGAATCTAAGTAAGATTCTGTAAGAAGTCTTTTCTAGTTTTAGAGTAATTTTCTCCTCTTATTTTTCCTTACAAGATTTAAAAAATACGCAAGAAACAACTGGAGAGGCATTTTAAGAATTATCTCAAAACTTTGATAAACTGGGAAGCATCTTGTGTCCGGTCAGCCTTGTGGCTCACCGAGGACAGAGCAAGCGAGGGAAAGAACCTTCTTTCAAAGTTGCCGCCTCTGTCCAAAGCTGTTATTTAAATGTGAGTCTTGTTCTTGAGGCTGCTGGGTAGTGCCAGCCGTTTCTGACTAAGTCTCCGGTCACTGTGAATTGATGAAATTTAAACCACAAGTGAAATTTCTCGAAACCCTGGGGATGTAGCTCAGGGACAGCATATGTGAGGTCCTGGTTTTCACCTCCAGCACTGGAGAAAAAAATTTTTTTCATAAAATATTTCTGTGTTTCCACCATCATGAAAAAATGGAGGGGCCTGCTGTTGAGTTTGTCCTTGATGGCTAAGAACTCCACTTTCCTTCTTTATTATGAACATTATATTTCTAAATGTTGTTCCTAAGATCTTATTATGAAGAAAACAATGTATTATCAACTTGTTTTTCAAAATTTAATTAAGCATAGTAGCAAAAACTATATTCTTTACTTTTGTACTACTAGTAGTTTTTAAAAAGCATGACCAACTCCCTAAGCATTAATCTTTATAATTATTACTACATTTGTTCACTTGGGCTGTTTGCTCTCTAGGTGTGACATTTTCATAACTTGGATGACAATTGTCATACCTTTTAAGGAAATAAATCTGAGTTTATAACTCACCTGAGAGATTAAAGTTGTAAACACAGAGAGTGAAACTCTGAACCCATCATATTACTCTGTCCTGACTGAAGCGCCTACAGAATGCAATATTTAAATGTAGATCTGGCTAACGAATAAACGAAGGAAAGACTTGTGGGCATATGCAGGTTTTAGTTCATTCAAATGTGGCAAGATAGAAAGAAGTATGGGATCCGGTCCACAGACACTCTGGCTGTCTAAGGCAGAGGGGTGTGGTCTCATTGCCTCCAGGTCTCTGGAAAGGAATTGCAAATGGACCTTGCTTGGAGTGTGGAGGTCTTAGCAATTCTAGCAAAGTGTGTGGGGAAAGTTTTACCAGAACGATGAAGCATTTCTGTGATTAGTGTGTAAACATTCTGCTGCTACCCACCAGCTGTAGTGTAGGGTTACCACAATTAGGATGATTAGGGTAAGAGGATTGCAAAGTAAAGTTCCCTAGTTTTGTATGAAAACATGTATCAAGAGTGACATTTAGGCAAAGAATTGCAGAGCACTGTAGGAGACTAAAAGATTAAACTTTAAAAATTCAAAAACATAATCTGATTTTAAAATTTCACATGTGCATTTTGGCAAGAATCACTGGCACTTTTTTTTGAAATAAGAGAAATGGCTTTTTTAAAGAGGTGGTTAAAAAACTCACAAGATTGCCTTCTTATTCTCCCAACTGTGGCTGCCTAGTCTTTCTCCCTTTTCACCCTGACTCTATTCTTTTACCATGCCTGTAGCACAACCACTTCCTATGCACTAGTCACAGTGTTATTTACTGTAGACTCCTGTTAGGTGGGAGGGAGTAGACAGACTGCCTTTAGCTCAGGTTAACCCTGCAGATGCTGAGAGCCTGTAGCTTTCAGGTGTTTTATACCCCCTGGCTCTGGATGCACCCTCCTGGGAAGCAAGGGACACCTGCAAGTTATTCTTACAAATACACACAAGACAGGTGGAAAAGGGCAGGAGACAGACACCGTTTGGATCTGTAGTGTTATTCTCCCAATGTTTTTAAAAGAGAAGGCTTACTTTCTTTTCTAAGTGGGTTCGTTATAATTTGCATGCATCTGACCTTGAGGTCTATCAGAGGTGTTTCTTTTAAGTTTTTTAAAATGACCTTGAATCAAAATACAAGATTCCTAATATAATTTCCATGTTCTTGAGTTCTGGGCCCTTGTATAGGCATAAGACTTGGGATTCCTTTGGTATTTTAGGTAACATTCTCTCTATTCTCTGTAATGTAGGATCTTGTTCAAGGGTGCCCTCGTAAGCCACCTCATAGGGGTGACCGCATAAGAATCCACCAGACTCCTTTGCAATCCTGTTTTTTACTTCTCTTTCTGTCTTATCTCCCCTCAGTAACTTTGATAAGCACATACCTGATTTTTAGCTGCAGTTTCTCTAGAATTACTTCTTCATTTTATTATAAGCATCTGTGACTTGATTGCTAGATTATATTCACATGTATTGCATCAACAACTTTTATGAGCCATCCTGGAGGTAAAGGCAATTGGGAAGGAAAGGGATTCAACAGTGAATAGGACTTTTTCTGCTGAGAATGTATGACAGCAAAAGAATGTACCTCCAGTATGCAAAGCAAGTTCCTCCTGATGGATCTTATCACAACTTCATGACAAATTGCTAAAAATATTCCCCTCTTCCCAGCAGCAGCAGCACTGAGTTTCCAAGGGAAAAACAAAGCAGATATGCTGAGCGGTTTCAGCTAGGAGAGTAATTTGAAGAGGAAAAGCAAAATTTTGTGCTTTCTTTATAGGTTTTGAAAGTGACACAGATTCAGAATTTACATTCAAGATGCAAGAGTATAACAAAGATGATATGTCCTATCGGAGGATTTTGGCTATAGAGCCAAAGTCTGCTTTGCCATTCAATCGTTTTTTACCCAACAAAAGTAGACAGCCATCCTACATGCCAGCTCCCTTGAGGAAGAAAAAGCCAGACAAGAATGAGGATAACAGAAGAAGTTGGGCAAGTCCGGTCTTCACAGAAGCAGATGGAACATTTTCAAGGTATTGGGAGGTGATGTGATTACGGAGTTCTGTGTGCTTTGTGACTTTCGTGGGGTCTTTAAGTGTGGTAAAAAGAATAGCTCTCAAAGTGTACTTTCTAGATAATAAATTTCACTGGTAACTTTTCTTGCATCTATTTTTAGTCATACTTATCTTGAAGATACACTATGTTAGAATGTCAGCAGACGATTTGCTAGGTCTTTTAAAAATGCATGCCTTCAGTTTACTGGTATTTTTCAGCTTACTGGATGAGTGATAACATTCATTGTGAACTCTGCCATGTTTTCTTCCATTGTTTCCTGGTTTTTTTTGTTGTTGTTGCTGCTCTTAGTGGACACATAAAGAATTCTTTAATTTCCCATCAAATTAGCAGAGCAGAGCATGGTTTTTCAAATCCAACTTCCTATGAGGAGGTGTGTACTTCTGAAAGTGGTTCAGGATGGAGGATGAACGAACGTTGCCTGATGTGATTTTGGATGACTTAGCCAACCGTAGATTCCAAGTGAGAAAGAGACCCGGGAGTTTCGTCTCAAAAACCACCTCTCCCAATTCTTGTCCACAAATATTTTCTCCTGACACATTAGCCCCTGGGCTATTCACACTGAAGTCAGAAATAGATTTGTCAGACATGTGTTTGTCCTGGATCTGAATGTCTATCATGCTGCTGATTGAATTCAGAAATTCCAGCCTGTTTGGAGTTCCTTTCATTTTTAACCCAGCTTCTACTTAAGTGTCTTTGGTCATGTGTATCTAGTGGTTCTCGAACTAAACTGTGATGCTGCTGTAATGCTTAACTTTGTTCTAGGAGCTGTGGGGATGAGAACAGGAGTTAATTTGCTTGATTCACAGTGGTGTAAACCTTGTGAGGCGAAATGCATGCCTTCTGTGTTCTGTGTCACAAGTTGTTCACAGAGTACCTTACCTGGTTGGATGTTTTGAACAGTAACCAGAGGAAGACTTCAGGCACCAAGGTGGAGAACTGGCCAAGAATCCGAGAAACTTCAAACTCCTCTTGTTTGAAAGAGGAAGAAGAAAAGATAACAAGCATACCCAACATTCTAAAGGATGATCTCTATGTGCGAAAGCTAAGTCCAATCATGCCAAATCCAGGAAATTCTTTTGATCAGTTTCTTCCCAAATGTTGGACCCCTGAAGATGTGAGCTGGAAAAGAATAAAAAGGGAAACTTATAGACCATGGTATAAAGAATTTCAGGGATTCAGGTTTGTTTTTGTGCATGTTTCCATTCTTCCAGTATTCATCCATACTGTCACCTGGTGCATTCTATGTGCATTTTTTTTTTTAATGAGGGCTAGTTTCACCTCTAATATTTAAAGAACTTCTAGATCTGAAAATTTAAGCATTAGGGCTGGGTGTTAATGGTTCACACCTGTAATTCCAGCAACCAGGAGACTAAAGCAGAAGAATTGTGAATTCTGGGCTAGCCTGGGCTACAAAGGGAGAGTCTGTCTTAAAAAAATTTTTTTTTAGAGCTAGGAATCTGGATTTTAAAAAGCCTTCTTTTATGTGTAATCATAGTTTGGCATTGATTTCAGTAGTTTATTCTTCAATTTCTTATCTCCTTCTGTTCCTCCTCTTCTCCATGTCACTTCATATGAAGGAATTCAGACTCTGAGGATGAGGACTCAGGCTCTGACAGAAGCTCCATCATTTTTAGTAGAATACAAAAAGCAGAGCATAGGTTAGACAGCAACTGCCAAAGACCTTCACTCTTGCTGGAACTAGCCACCAAACGGGCCATAAAATCACGCAACACCCATGCAGCCAGGAAGACCAGTGGTGCTTCGGATGAGCCCAGGTGCACCTGTCTGCATGAGCTGCCTGCTTGGGGTCTGGGGTCAGATGCCCCCTCCACCTGCTTCTCCTGCTACATTAATCCTGGACCTGACTGTTTCGAGTCATGGAAACTTAACAGACTTAATACAAAAGCATACAGCACATAACACTGCTTTCTGCGTAAGCCTGTGAGCTTGGAAGTCTGTAGGACTCAACTTTCTTTGTTAGCACACTAATTTGCAAGACAGTATATATTTACATGTGACTGTTCTTTTGGAAAACCAGTCCCAAAAAGGCTTCTTAGAAAGATTACTAATTTTAGAGCTGTGCTGTGTTTGGAGAGGTGGAGAAAAAAGAGCTTTTAGATAGAGCCTGGGTATGGCAAATCTGGGAGGATGCAAAGAAAATTCATCAGGGGTATTTTATAAAACTTTAGAGTAATTTCCTTTTTTCTGCTTATCATTGTGTGAAATCTGTGATGGCCAACTCTTGAGATTGTCTAAGTTCATTCCTTGGGGGGAGGGGGCGGTGGGCAGTATGGCTGATAGAATGAGGAAGTGGGTACGAGGCAGAGCTGTGGGTTTGCCAGGGAGGTGCATTCAGTCCAAGTTCTAGCCCCCACACTTGGCTTTATAGTGGCCACCTTTCCTGGACAGTATGTGCCGCCCTCATTTCTTTAAGTGGTACCCAGGAAAGTCATCCAATGACATTAAATGCTAGTCTGTCTACTTGCAGGAGCTCCTCCTATGACCCCTAAAATAATTCACCTGTGGTGTGTGCCTAGTTGGTCTGCTGCCTAATTACCCTTTCTCCTCAAACTTAATAAGATTCTCCCTTTTTCTCTTCTGTGCTTCAGTCAGTTTTTATTACTTCAGGCTCTCCAAACATATTCTGATGACATCTTGTCTTCTGAAACAAATGTTAGAATTGATCCCACATCTGGCCCAAGGCTCATAACACGCAGAAAGAATCTCCCTCATTCACCAGGTTACAGAAGAAATGACCTCGAGATGCCAGCTCTGGATCCTGACTTAGAAAATGATGATTTCTTTGTCAGAAAAACTGGGGCTTTCCACGCAAATCCATGTGTTCTCCAAGCTTTTGAGGACTTTAGAAGGTTCTCTGAGCAAGATGATCCTGTAGAGCGAGATATAATTTTGCAGTGTAGAGAAGGTGAAATTATACTTCCAGATTTAGAGAAAGATGACATGATTGTTCGTCGAATTCCAGCACAGAAGAAAGAAATACCCTTGTCCGGGGCCCCAGATAGATACCATCCAGTCCCTTTTCCTGAACCCTGGACTCTGCCTCCAGAAATTCAAGCAAAATTTCTCTGTGTACTTGAAAGGACTTGCCCATCCAAAGAAACAAGTAATAGCTGTAGGATATTAGTGCCTTCATATCGGCAGAAGAAGGACGACATGTTGACTCGCAAGATCCAGTCTTCAACACTGGGAACTGCTGTGCCTCCCGTCAGTTTCACTCCTGGCCCTTGCAGCGAGGCTGACTTACAGAAGTGGGAGGCTATCCGGGAGGCCAGCCGACTTAGGCATAAGAAACGACTGATGGTTGAGAGGTCAGAGTGTGTTTCTGCAAGGATTGGCTTGTTATGGATGGTCTCGTGTGACTTTTTCTTGTGCAAAAAAAAAAAAAAAAAGCAGCATTAGATTGTTCAGACTTGCATGTTGTGTGCTGTTTTGAAGCATCCTATAAAAATTTCTTTTGCTTTGAGAAACTTTTAGGCACTTTGTGGAAAAAGTGCAATTCCATATTTGCACATTTCCTGAGTCTATTTAAGATGGTATATATACAAATCTTGACTTTAGCTCTAAGTTTATTGCACTATTCTGTATTACGAAGTTTCACAAAACTGCTTTCCAATGATGTTTATAGTTTTATTTGCATGTCCAGGCATTTTTGTAAAAAAGTCTGGTTGTAGTTTGGTTTTATGTGTTTCTCATATTTTGGAGTGTCTGATTTTTTTTGAATGTAAAATTTCCCCTTAAAATATGGCATTGCAAATCTCATTAACTTGATTTTTGTTTCTGACCTAGGTTTCTTGAATTATCAACTTGTAATACTTTTGTTCATAAAGTTTAGTGCAAACTTCATTAAAATGCATGAGTATTACTGTCTGCTGAATTTTACATGTATGCTATTGTGACCATTTTGGTAGTTGTTATTTCATGCAACTTGTCTTCTTGATTACTGTTCACTTTGTTGAACTTGGGGATAGACAAATCTGATGAGGTGAATAAAATTAGTAGGTCCAAGTCTAAGGTTTTCCTGACAATGGGAAACCTTGTATGGATGTGTTAGCTTATATTAAGTCAAGAAAGCCTTCATTTTGCTTGATTGAAGGTCCTTGAGAAATAGGTTCCATGAAAACTTGAGACACAATCAAGAATGGCTGAAGAAGTAACCTTTTGAGATTTGTCCATCTTCTGTTAGACTCAAAGACATTGAACATTTAGAAACTAACATAATTGAAAAAAGTGACTTTAATTTTTGGTTTTCTGATCTCTTAGACTCTTTCAAAAGATTTATGGTGAGAATGGGTAAGTTTTATGGTTCACAGTAATCAACATACTGCATATTGTTTGTCTTTTGTGTAGCTTGCACTCTGTTCTGGCATGTCACTAAATGGGGGTGCTGCCTGCAGTGCATGCGATTGTAAAATTAGGAAGTTTTTATTAACTTTTAACCTAATGGCATTTTTTTTGTATATCTGAGTGCCCAGTGCATGAAATTCTATATAAAAAATAGCTTTTGTTGTCTTAGGAATTTAAACATTTGTTACATCTCTTTTTTTTTTTTTAATTTACTGAGTTGATTAAAATAACAAGAGCATTTGCCTAAGACATTTATGCTTGTTATGGTATTTGATTGCTAAATAGCCTGAAGTTTCTGGTTGCTGGGTGAGACTGAGCAGGCCATCTTCAGCATGACCTGCTGAAGAGTAGTCAAGCATCTACTCTTAGTTTGTTGTAGGAAAGCTATTTTAACTTGATTAAAAATCCCTCTGCAGTTTCAAGCACGTTTGAATAACTTTCAGAAAGAATTCTCATTTCTAAATCACCTTGACTTTATAATATAAGCAGGTCTCTGGAATAGTCCTTTTTTTTTTTTTCTTTTAAAGGGGATTTAAGTACCCAGAGTACAAGTACTTGGTAGGATGTAAACACACATTACCTTACTGGCTTGACTGTACTTGTTCCTCCTTAGTGAAAGGGCATCATGTAACTGAGTTACACTTAGCTGGATGGAAGTCAGTGTAGAGTGCTTTCCCACCATGTGTGAGGCCCTGGGTTGATCCCTAGTGCTGGATTTAAGGGGTGGGGCAGGTGGGAAGACAGAGAGGCAGACAGACAGAGACAGGGAGATAGGCAGAGAGACAGAGACACACACACATACAGAGAGAGAGAGAGAGAGAGAGAGGAGAGACACGGAAAGAGGCAGGGAGAGGGACTAGGAGAGGGAGAGACAGAGAGGAGAGGCAGAGACAGAGACAGAGATTGTGCCAGATAGAGAGAAAGGGAGGGAAAGAGAGGGAGAGAGGGAGAGGGAGAGAGAAAGAGAGAGATAAGGGAGAGGGAGAGAGAGATATTGAGATTGTGCCTGAGAGACAGACTGTGCCTGAGAGAGAGAGAACTGTGCCTGAGAGAGACAGAGAGACATCCTAAGGATTTTTCTGAAGTTGAGCTAGCAGAAGCAAATGTTTTCAGTCAACAATTCCAGGATAGTTATTTGGATAGGACAGTATTTGTTTTAAAGACTGGTCCCCATGCAGTTGAGTGCCAAGGTAACTACTCAAATAAAGCAAGATAATCTGTAAATTGAGACTGATGAATAATGCATGCTTATCAAATAATGAAACACAATGTGTCTTTAGAAAATTCAACTGTGTTTTAAAGCAGTTGAAATCAAATCTATCATACAGAATTTTTTCAGTATTGTTAGTTACCAGTGCTTTCTGTATGTTAATCTTCAATGAAAATATAGTGAATAAGTAAATATAGATACATATATATATATTCAAATTAGATTGCATGTAGGATTTTGCTCTACAACCCATTCGTGTTTCTGCAGGGTGCTCATTCTTTGAACATCATACCCTGGAAAAGCATTATTGCTCAACATCTTAATTGAAAAATCACTGCCTATATATAACATGAATCCCTTCTTTTTGATAAGGACCAGTTTAAAGAGAGATGTGCAGTATCTTTTGAGTTCTTAGACTGTTAAATCTAGCTTGCTTTTTTGTTTTGTTTTGTGTTTGGTTTGGTTCTGGGATTGAACCCAGGACCTTTGCATGTCAAGCAAGTGCTCTCCCTGGCTGGATGGCTTGCATTTTATTTTGCTTTTAACACCTGCCAGTTTATTTTTAGTAAGCTTTGTATGTGGCTGTCAGTTCTTAGGTGCATGCTTTTGTGTTGCATGACTTTATGTCTGTATGGTTCTGTGAAGTGTGAAAATTTGGTTAATAAAATGTTAATGAATGACACATAAAATTTTGTGGTAAGAAGCCAGGCATGGTGGTACATGCCTGTAATCCCAGCTACTTGGGAGGTGGAAGATTGTTGTCGAAGGTTGGTCTTGGGCAAGGCGTGAGACCTTATCTGAAAAACAAACTAAAAAGCAAAAGGCCTGGGGAATAGGTTGAGAGCTAGAGCATTTGCAGTGCAATACCCTGAGTTCAATCTCTAGTAGCACCCACTCCAAAATGTTGTAAGAAAATGTAGAAATAATCTCAAAATGTGATAAAGCCATTGAATTTGATCTCAACCTCAACAGGAAATAAAGAGCAACTAAATGTAAAGTTTTAATCACAGATAATGAAGACATCTGTGTTACTTAATGTATTTTGGCCAAGAGATGAATCATGAAGTCATAAGGTAGCAAAAAAGGAAGGGAAAAACAAGCTCATTTGGGTTACTTTCTGGGAATTATTCTTCACCCCAGAGGACAGTTAGTAGTGCCCAGAGATAGTTTTCTTTGTCACAGTCAGGTGTGTGTATATTAGTTTCATTTAGTGCACATAGTATATCCCCCATAACACACAATTTTCCAGCTCAAATCCTGCTCTTGAGAAAACTTGATCTTAGACAATACGTCTCCAAATGGGAACCCCTCCTCGTGTTGTCCCTCACACAGATTTTAAAAATGATTGCTCATCACAGAACTCCTGTATACCTCACTGAAGCCATTTAGAGATACATAAATAAGTATATTCATATTTGCTTCTGATGACATATTGTGGAATTTCTAGGCGGGTGCAGTATTTATCACTTAACCACACCCCAGGCCATGTTGTGGGACTTCTATTCTATGTGTAAGGCTATCGGTAATTTTGTATTGAGGAAAATTTGTCTTTTTTTTTATTCCTTACTCCTTAAATACTCATAAGTTTCTTGGAACTGGATTGTAAAATATTATGCCTGAATGACAGCCAAGAAATGCCAGGATTATCGTAGACAGAGTAAAAGACAGTCAAGCTTTGTGATCTTGTTTTATGATTGATAACTTCTTCCTTAAACTTTCCTCTGTTATGCTATAAAAATTCCATTCAAGTGAAAAGGCAAGATTTTTTCCCCCCTTTGGTACTGGTGTTTAAACTCAGGGTCTTGCACTTGCTGTACAGGCATTCTACCACCTGAGCCATGCTTTCAGCCAGGCAAGATTTTTTTTTTTTTTGTGGGGAAAAAAAAAATCCAAATGCAGTTTGTACATTGGTGCCTTTCTGAATAAGGAAATACAGCTCACAGTTGCAGGTAGATGAATTGTGGGAGAATAACGATGGGACTTTCCAGTGAACAGGCATTTATTCAACAAAGCATGCTGGACGTGCTTACAGTTTTCCCAAACAATTTTGCTGATGTTCTCTCCTGTGCTTGTCTTGATACTGGAAGGTAGACCGATTTTTACCTGCATTTCAGAGACATGGAGGAGAAACATCTTTCAGGATGTAGACTCCTGAGTGGGAGAACCGGACTGGAGCTTAACCTCATGAGCTAATCCACAAGACTGCTTGGCACTGTTCCCTGCCACACAGTGAACCCTCACAAGCTTATTATGCTTCTCAGGCTGATAAGGAAAGAAAGAATTGTTCAGGGGCAACTCCTATACTTCAGAAGTTCTAGATTTTATCAGTGTGATCTCTGGGGTGAACTTTCTAATTGGAAGTGGCTTGGAGAGCCAGTGTCTGGGAGAGCATATGGAATCCTATTTGCCTTAATAAGAATTGATACATAGCACTAGATTTTTTTTTAAATGGACTCAACACAACCATGTACAGTTATCACAGTGTAGCATGTGAGGAATTGAGGCTAAGAAGGGAACTGATACGTATTTGGTGGGTGAAAACTGCTTCTTCAGCTGGGCCTGGAGACCTCTCCTATTCTTCTGGTGTCTGCAGTCTGTGATGGAATGTGCTCCAGCTTTAGTGGAGGTAACTTTATATACACTAGGGAACAGATTGTGCTTACATTCCTGCCTTCACAGGGGCTTGTCTACTCTAGAACTTATTTGGCTCAATATATTCATGCTGAGGACCATTTGAGCACCAAGCTGTGCTGAATGCTTGGGTCCACAGGGGAAGTATGCAGCATACCCTGATAAGCACACAGTATGGGAAGATGTGTATTAACACTTCACAGCCAGTTAGATCACAATAGAGCAGCCATGGGAGTTGGGCCAGTTTAGATTGTCCAACCTTCCTCCCTTCCACCAAAAGATGATTTTTTTCCACTAAAAGATTATTGAAGTGTGAATTAGTATTTTGATTTTCATTCTTTGTTGGACATTCAGCTTTCCCTCGTGCCTTGGACCGGGACAT